CTGAGCCAGCCCCCACAGTCAGTACATGCTAGGCCAGCCAGCCTTCACAGTCAGTATGTGTGTGCTAGGCCAGCCAGCCCCCACAGTAGCTCAAGGACAGAGCCTGGGACTTGTCCAAGCCTACCCTCAAAATGGAAAACTGTACCCTGACCAGCCTCTAACAAGCCCTAGCCAATTAGAACATACTGATATGATTGCCACTTGCTTAAGCCAATTGTAGAAAAAAATAACCTAACTACCTTAGGACCTCCCCTTGACTATGCTTAAAAGGAGCTCAAACATCTCTCCCAGGGTCTTCACCATTTTGCCTTTGTGGGGGATGGCAGGCCCCAGCATGCTGGTATAATAAACACTCTTGTTGATTGCTTATGTGGATGGTGGTCTTTTGTGAAACTTCTCCCAGGGACCCTAACAGGTGTTAGCAAAAATAAACTTCCGCTGTGATAAAGTGGCCTGTATGTGTTATTTTCTTTCAGCCTCACCTAGTTTCCAGTTATCTAATGTTCAGAAGAAGAACATAGTCTAGAGATAACTGGTAATTTTGTTTGCATGGTTAAAAAGCACAGATTGTTAGCACTTCAAAGAGCTACCAGTAGACCTTGCACATAAGAACCTGAGCTTTGGAATCAGTGACTGGCTCTTGGTGCCTGAAGGGTTCACAACACGCCCCCACCGTTGCATATACCAGGCGGACACTTCCGCCTAGCCAATTCTAGTCAGGATAGGCATTTCCGGGTCAGGGCGTCTCTCATAACCAGGATACCCGGCGGACCTGGACACCTCTGCTTAGCCAGTTCCAGGTCAAGATAGCCATTTCCGGTTCAAGGCGTCTCGGGTAACCAGGATCCGTGACGTTTCATGGCCACGTAAGCGTGCAACGTGACCATGTGATCTACGCATACCTGTGGAGTAGTGACGTGACCTGGCCACGCCCCCAGCCGGTTTTAAAGCGGAGCGCCATGTTCCCACCTCCCTCTTCTCCACACACGTGTCTCTCTCACAGGCCTGCACACTCTCTATCCCTTTATCTCTAATAAAACTCTTATAAGTGGATTCTGTCGTGTTTCGTGACACTTCCTTGCAGGGTAAGAACACAACGCGACTAAATAACTAACAGTGCCTAGATCATAAAGGTTCCTTGGATCACATATCGAGGCATTGTGCCAGAATAGTGCAGAAGACCAGCGAGCAAAGCTGTGCTGTGATGTAAGGTAATGGTCAAAAGGAAGCAGAAGGAACTCAGGTTCAAGTGGCTCTAAGGTGATGAGCTAGCCTTCTCTCTAGGTGGTTTAGAAAAGGAAGGTGTGGGTGGAGAGCTACAAGTAAATGAGTAGCACATATACATATATACATATTTAAATTTGTTGTTATTGTTAGTAACAATAACAAATTGTTATTGTTAGTAACAGTAAATTTAAATATGGGGTAGGGGGGTGAGATAAGATCATGCTGTGTAGCCCTGGCTGTCTTGAAACTTGCTATGTTGGTCAGCCTGGCCTGAAACTCAAGAGATCTGCCTACATCTGTCCCAAGTGCTGGGATTAAAAGAGTGTGCCTCAATGCCCTGCAGTGAGTAGCAAATATTTAATATGCAAATAGAGACCACAGCAGAGTTGGAAAACAAATGGTAATGAAATTTAAATATTATGAATAAAACTATATATCCATATCAGGAGAGTCTTTGGGAGGTCTTGAAGATTAAACCCGCCCACATGCATTGTAAACGTTTGTCGTATGATCCAGTTATGTGCCCCAACCCTAGTGCATTTTAATGCAAATGTTTACAATTACATTGTATTTATTATGTGCTCACATATGTGCACCTCTCTCTCTCTCTCTCTTTCCGTGTGTATGTGTGTGTGTGTGTGTGTGTGTGTGTGTGTGTGTGCACGCACACATAGCAATCAGAAGACAACTCTGGAAGTTGGTTCTCTCCTCCTGTGTGCGTTCCAGGGATAGAATTCAGGTGATGAGGGCTGGGGGCAAACATCTTTTCTTGCTGAGTCATCCTGACAGCCCTATATTTAATTTTAATGTAACTGAACTTGCTGATATTTTCCTTTATGGATCTTATACACATATCGTACATGTAAATTAGGTGTGTTTGTTTTCCTCTTCTGATTTTTTTTTTAATTTTAAAAATAGTGTATGTATGTGAGTGAGCTTAATGGTATGTTACATATAAAATCAATTTAATAAAGGTTTAAATTATTGTTTTCATACCATTTCATAATGTGATATCATTATGAAATATACAAATAAAGTATTGAATGTATCTAAATAATTTAAAGAGAAATAGAGAGAACATGATTATCTACAGTTTGGGTCACATTTTAATCAGCACAAAGGAAGAAAGAGCTCAGAGTCCCACAGTCCCCTCAAAGGCACCTCTCCTGATGGACTCCCTTAAGGCCCCACCTCCCGAATTTCTGCTGCCTCCCCACAGCACTTAGGCACTATTAACATCTAACATTTTACAGTATAATATTTCTGCACACTGTTAAATTTTTTACCCGTATGCCTAAATAATAAAGATAGTGTTACATTTACTTCAAAACATTTTATTTACCATCACATTGAGGTCTTTAATTCACATGAAATTGATTTTTATAGTCTATGAGGTAAAGAGTCAATATCTTTTCTCCATATGGAGAACCTGTTTTTTTCTGCATCATTTATTAAAATCCATCTTTAACTCATTTATTGATGAGTAATGTGACCTCAATTATGTCAATTATCTTGGGACTTCCTGTTTTGTCCCTACAGTGATATCTCAATTAATACATGTCTGCAATAAGCCTTAAATATCTCATGCTTTGTTCTTCAAAATTGAATTGGAATTGTCCATTTGTGTTGATACTCACATGCGTTCTGGAATCGGCTTATATAGAGTGCTATGAAGTACTCTTAATATTTTTTAAAAATGTATTAACTTTATAATTTGTAGGACATTGTCCTTGGAAGATTGTTGAGTCAGCTTACCCATAAACATGGAACAAAAACGATTACTTTTTTTTCCATGACGGTCTTATACATGGTTATGAGCTGTATTTGTATCCCTCCCTCTGCCCTTCATGTTTCAGTGCCTAGCCCTTAATATGATGGCCCTTGGAGGCAGAAACTTTGGAAGGTAATTTGGTCATGAGGGTGGAACCTTCATACATGGGACCTCGTCCCCTTTTTCTTCCTTTAATTATAAACTTATTTGGATGGGTGGTTTGCTTTATTTATTTATTTTTATTTGTTTGCTTGTATATCTGTGCGCTACAGGTGTGCAGTGTCTGTGGAGGCCAAACGCAGGAGTCTGATCTCCTAGGACGGGAGTTAGAACAGTTGTGAAGCTGCCATGTGGGTGCTGGGAGTCGAATCTGGGTCCTCTGGAAAGAGCTGTAAGAGCTCTTACCTGCTGAACCATCACCCCAGCCTCTGGGACTAGTACTTTTATAATCAGAGATGCCCTAAGGATTATGTTTCTGGCAATGAAAGGTTACAATAAGATCAGCCCTCTAAACCAGCGAGAGGTCCATTAGCAGACATCCACTCTGTCTGTGCCCTGACTGGACTTCCCAGACCTTAGTACCATGGAAAATAAATGTGTGTTCTTTAAGCTGAATGGCCTTTTGGTGCCTTGCTGGCAGCCTGGGCTGCTAGGATGCACACGTGTGTCAGAAACCGTTCATGCCTTTCCATGTCTGCTCTCCATTTCTTGCCACATTCCCTCTGCTCTGGAAGGTTGTTCTATGTGCTCTTTCCCAACGCTCCTACTTCCTGGTCGTGTTCAGCCCTTAGGAGGCTGCAGCGGTAGATTGGCCAGGATGCCTTGTAAAGCTAAGGTTGCCTAAACTGAGCATTGCTGTATCTCTCAAAGTGGTTTGATGCTTTCACTCTGAGTTCTTGTCTTCACCCATTCTTTTGGACAAGAGATAATAACTTTTTAAAAAAATATAGAATAAAGAATACAAATCTGAGTATTGGACATTAGGGCTTATTTAAGGGGTGTCTTAGAGACAATCACAAGTGGGATTACTTTATTTTATTTTGGTGATGCTAGAACCCGAACCCACGCTGTTGGCATGCAGGCAGACATCAGAAGCAAGAAAGACTGCAGCAGCCTTTTAAGCAATTATAACTATGAAATTATTGTGCATAAGCGATATGCCTTGCTCTACGCTGGGTGGGTTATTTCACTCCTTTTATGAGATAGATTTTATTAGAATTGTTTGCTTGTTTGGTGTGTGTGTGTGTGTGTGTGTGTGTGTGTGTGTGTGTGTGTGTGTTGTTTTTTGACACTACCTGGGAACTCATATAAATGTACTCACAGAGACCCATCTGTCTGCCTCTGCCTCCTGAATGATGTTATTAAAGATATATGCTTCCATGCCCAACCAAGATAGGTTTCATTACCTGGACTTATTTCACAGCTAAGTTTAAAGATACTTTCTCAAGGTTGCAGAGATCGCTTGTAAGGAAGAACCAGAACTTTAATTCAGGGCCCCCTGATTCCAAAGCCCCGTTCTGTTCCTTTCCTTGATGCTCTGTATACACGTTACCATTCAACTGGTGCTTGGAGAATTGTGTCCTGTTAGGCTGTAGTCTCAGTTAAGTGATAGAGGTGACCTTTCAGAGGCTTTATCTGACTGGGTGACCTTGAGAGTTTAAAGAATAACGCAGGGAAGAAACCAAGAGAGCAGTGGGAAAGGCTTTGTAGTGAAAGGTTGGGGATGGATATAGTATTAATTGCTAGAAAAGTCAAGTTTCATTTTTCGACAAACTTTATGTCACACAAAGAATGACTTCTCATTGTGAGAAATGATCAGCTTGTCCTCTCTGAGGACTTCCATCTTTCTCATAGGATGAAAGAGCGGGACAGCGAGCCTCTGGGGACAGGGCAGCGTGCATTCCACCCACAGAGCCTGGCATGCTTCCAGCTACTCATTGTGATCTGGGCTCTACTCCCTCGGTCTTGCCGAGGGGCTTGTTTATCCTCATTAACATTAATACAGCAACTGTCTTCCAGGTCACCTTGCTCCAGCAAACAGAGGAAAAGATATTTATGTCGCCATCCCCCTGGCTTTTCTTCCTAACAGCTCTCCTACCTAATATTTAAGTACAGGCAGGTGCCATTTAACAGAACGCTTGCAAGGAGGTGAGGGGAACAATCAGCTTTCACCTTGAAACACGGCTCTCAAAAGAGAAATCATCGCTATCACAGCAACAGGGAGCGTCTGTGAAGACAGTGGCTGAAATGTGAAATGAAGGCAACTGTGCAGGTTCACAGCGAGCAGGCGACAGGCCAGGTAACTAAGAACCGTTTCCCCCCTGTCCTAGATGAGCAAAGAGCAAGGAAAACTCAGGTCAACCCGCCTCACACTTAGGCACTGTCCTGTATGAAAGTCGTGGACCCCTCCCCAAAGAATGACTTGGAACCCCCTCCCAAAGAAAGGAGCTCAGGTTAGTTGCCAAATCCCAATACTTTCTTCTTTTCACTGAATTTTTTTAACTTCCTTTAACTCATAGATTTTTACACCTTAAAGAAAAATCTTTCCGGCCGGGCGGTGGTGGTGTACACCTTTAATCCCAGCACTCGGGAGGCAGAGCCAGGTGGATCTCTGTGAGTTCGAGGCCAGGCTGGGCTACCAAGTGAGCTCCAGGACAGGCGCAAAGCTACGCAGAGAAACCCTGTCTCGAAAAACCAAAAAAAAAAAAAAAAAACCTTTCCTAACATCATTCAAACAGTTGGGGAAAGTAAATATGAAAAGTAGAGCTGAAAAGACTGTAATACTAGACTTTTAGAGGAAAAAAAAAAAGCCATGTCACAGTCATCTAATAAGAGCAACAGACAGAATGCAAGTTGTATTTATGATACACTCGTATTAGTTACAGGAATGATAATTATAGATTAAAGCTCTTGAGAACTGAAATAAATGAGAAGTCATAGAAGATTGCTAAGTATAGAACAAATATGTCTTACATCATATGGCTTGAGTTTTGGAAATTGGCTTAGAAATTTAAAAACAGAGTGATATGCTAACTGCTTTTATTTCATTTTAACCAAAATATCCGACAGAAACAGCTTAGGGGTGGAAAGCTTTCCTCCTCAGAGGACTGCAGTCCATGGCTGCAGAGGGAGTCCAGAGGCATGGCAGGGCTCATACACTGTTTTCCTGGCACACCAGGAAGAAGTAGAGAGGGCAGGCTGGACTCAGGGAACAAGTAAAGGCAGGCTCCTATGACCCACCTCTGCCTGCCAGATCCATCTCCTAAAGGCTCTCCAAGCTCGGAAAATGGGCTTGTTGGGGGCATCTTAGTTTACATGATACCAATTAGCTTGCTGAGGTAAGGCTGACAGAAAGCGATTCTTGAGTGATGGCTCTGTTTGCTCATTTCCATCTCTGTAGTCAGATGGCATGCTCCAATACTGCACTTAAAGGAAATACCTGATTTAAGAATTCAGAAGATTCAGAAGCCTACGATAAAAACGAGATGAAAGACAGTCAGGGTGAATTTGGATGTTTTATGGTCTTGACAACACATAGAATGAATGTGTGCTGTTAGAAGTGTAAATTGAAAGTTTTCCAATGCTGAAAATTGCTCATACTTCATTTCTTAGCCCAATTAGAGAGTTCCACTAAGAAATGAAAAATTAGATACTTTGTACTCTATTTTGTTTTTGTAATATAAGTATTTCTTTTTTGAGACTGTCTTATATGCAGCCCCAGATAGCCTGAAACACTATGTATATCAGGCTGTCTTTGAACTCATAGAAATCCGCCTGCCTCTGCCTCCTGAGTGCTGAGATTAAAGGCGTGTGCCACCATGCCTGGCTTATAATTATTTCTTTCTAAGGAAGGTAGACTATCAAGTTTAGAGGGAAAAAAATTTTTTAAGAAAAAAAGAAGAAGAAGACTTGAAAGTTAATTTCATCTTATGGAAAGAGGGCTGGAGAAATAGCTCAGTAGTTAAGATTACATCCTACTCTTGCAGAGGACATGGATTTGATTTCCCGCATTCAAGTAGGGTGGCTTGCTCCTACCTGTAACTGCAGTTCCAGAGAGATGCAACACCTCTGGCCTTTGAGGGCATTTACACACACACACACACACACACACACAGAGAGAGAGAGAGAGAGAGAGAGAGAGAGAGAGAGAGAGAGAGAGAGAGAGAGAGAGATGCACATAGACATAACTAAAAATAAAGTAATTTTATAGGAAAACTGTTAGTTGGTAAAATTTGCTTGTGAAGTTATTTAATTAATTGAACAATAAGTTGTTACGAGGTCTGGTCTAAGAAAACTTTGGTAGCACATTTTCCCTTAAAAGTCAATGGGTTCAACTAAAATGTTTGTCTCTTGACAATAGAATTTTGAATCATGATAATCGATCCCCCAAATTAGCATAAAAATGGTGACACTTATAATATTCTGCATTGACTTCATCTGATCTGATTGGAAAGCTTGGTAAGGCAAAGCTGAAATAGATCTCTAGTCCAGGATGGACTAGAATAATATATCTAGTTTGTTTAGCAGGTCATTACCCACCTGGAAATAAAAACATATCAGATCCACAGTGCCGCAATGAAAACAAATGGCTGTATTATTCCAAGCTCAATACCACGAACATACTCCCATTTATACATTTATGTTCCCTTTCGCAGACATTAGAGCCTTTAGCATCTCATAAATCCTGGCTGATTACATGTCAAAAGAAAAGGTTAATGATAATTTTAATATGCCTCCCCTTTCTAGCTAATGAATCAACACCACACATGGAGGAGGCCAGAGGTGTGGAGCAGAAGTGATACACTGAGGACTCTCGCTTCAACAGGTGATGAATTCCTCAAACGACGACCCTGCCCCATGGTGGATGCAGTGGCCTTGAGAGGAAAACCTTTGCTTGGCCTTCGGCTAGGTTCCTGATCCACTGTAGCAGGTTCTGGGTTGTGTAGTGAACTAAATACGCTGGAGACAACAAGGCTGCTTTCAACGAGCTCACGTCCCTGAGGTAAGGAATTCCTCCCTCCAGATGTGCTGCCCCTATATTTCTAGAGGACGTCTCTTGTACGTGACCCTTCAGTGGCTGTCAAATAGTCCCCTGCTTCTTGACTGCTTAAATTACTGATCCCAGGGCCCCATCTTGCCTTTTTTTTCTTAAAAAAAGACTATTTCAAGCCGAGCGGTGGTAGCGCACGCCTTTAATCCCAGCACTTGGGAGGCAGAGGCAGGCAGAGCTCTGTGAGTTCGAGGCCAGCCTGGGCTACCAAGTGAGTTCCAGGAAAGGCGCAAAGCTACACAGAGAAACCTTGTCTCGAAAAACAAAAAACAAAAACAAAAAGACTATTTCTAAGTACTATAAGATTTTGTCAATATATGGTAATAAACGTATATGCAATAAACATATAGAAAACTCTTTAATGCAACAAGCCAATTTCAAATTATAATTTGAAAGATATAATGTGTTTTCATTGATGTTCCCCAAATCAACAAACTGTTTTGCTGTCAAAACTAGCAGCACTGGGCTGACTCTGTGGATAACGGTGCTTGCGGCACAAGGCTGGCAACCTGAGTTCAATCCCTGAAACCACGTAGAAGTAGAAGGAGATAATCAACTCCTCAAAGTTATTCTCTGACCTTCACAAACATGCCATGGTGTTGGCATCTCCACACACACACACACACACACACACACACACACACACACACACTATAACACTATCAGCACTACGGGTTGGTTCACTAATTCTGCCAATCACATTCTCTATTAAGCTATACTACCGTAGAAACACCAATCTGTTGTTCACGTTCTTATTGGCTCCATTGAAAAGGTTATAACATCATTTCCCAACTCTTCAATGTACTGTGCATTTTGCATTATTCTTCTGACATGCGCAGTATGGATCAACCCTCAAATATGAACTCTATCTCTGTGACTCGCTCCAGGAAATTTTGTTTATAACGGGGAGAATGCCGCACATCTGAGAGAATACATCTTTACTATTCGAAGCGACAGCATTTGTGGTCATTTATTCCAGTAGCTCAAAGAAACAACTACAATGTGCTACATAAACAAAATAAGACAGCAAAAATATTTCTGCTATAATCTCAACTATATGAAAAACTTGTGGAAATTTTTAAAAGAAACTTATGTTGGTAATGACTGCCTACAGGTGATAAGATTATAATAATCTCATTTGCTTACTTCTCAGTTCTGCAGTCTTCAAATTTTTTAGAATGAGTATGATCTTTATATTAAAATGTATCCTTTGAGTGTGGAAAGCATATGGGCTAGTATGGTAACTATTGTACAGATTATGATTAAAAATGGAAGCAATCTAATTATGTAATCTTTGATAATGTTTAATTTTTTTTCCTTCTGATGGAGTTAAGCTGCTATAATTATGAATATAGGGTCACAATGAAAGAAAGCCTTAGGACAATGAGGAGACAAGATAGTTGGGCCCTGGGACCAGACTAACTCCATTTAAAAGGACCTGCTTCTTACTAACTATACATCTTGATAATCCCATTGGTTTTCGCCGGAGATGTAATAGAACTGATTGAAAGGTTATTTGAGGATCAAAAGAATAGCACTGCATTTTCACATAGGCTCAGGACAATCAGTTTTCACCTTTTAAGGACTCTGGCTTTGGGCTGAGACATGATTGGTGGTATTCGGCTGCTCTTACACACAGGTGCTGCCGTCTCTGCCCACACACTCAGTTGTCTTTCGAACGGAATCATCGGCATCCTGATGCCACATAATTTGAATTGAATTTCCATTTATAATCCTTTTAAAATTCTTTTGTGACTCAGCACAAAAACAGAAGTTCCACATGTACAGAGACTCAGAAGGAGAGCAGAAGAGCGTCATTGTAACCATTGATGAAAACCGTATTTGTGGGCTGCAGAGACGGCTCCCTGTGGAAGAGCCCTGGCTGCTCTTGCAAAGCACCAAGTGTGGTTCCCAGCACTCACACTGGACAGCTTAGTTACTACCTACAACTGCATTTCCCAGAGATTTGACTCAATCTTAAGGTCTCCAAGGGCACCTGCAGCACACACACACACACATGCACGCACGCACGCACACACGCACACATACACACATAATTAAAAATTAAAATGTAAAACCCCACCAAGACTGCAGTTACATATACTCATGTAGAGCTGCCCCAGAGAGGATGCCAATTACACTGGGTGACTGAGAATGTCTGTCATTCACCAGCCGGCGCTAAGGAACCTGAAATGCCTTGGAAGCGTGAAAGACATTCCTAAGTAATGACAGGCTGCTGTGACCAAGTCGTGGTTTGCAAAGAGCCATCATTAAGGTGTCAATCACCAACGCATCATAAATTTCCTGTTGACGTTAGGTAGAAGTCGCTCAGTTTCCAGAGACATGTGACTCCCAGAGACACATGACTCAACCTGAAAACAAAACAAAAGCCACAGAGTTTCTGTGGCTTGTGTTACACTTGGTGGGCAGGTTTTAGAGTTTTAACTTTTTCTTAATGCTATGTAATACTATATGCCTTAGAGTAAATAGCACCTTCGTTCCAATGAAAGATGATTCGAATAATTTCTAAGACTATGCCCAGTGTACTGTAAGTCAGAAGTAAAAAAGGTTATAATGCTGGCCATGGTGGTGCACACATTTAATCTCAACACTCAGGAGGCAGAGGCAGGTAGATCTCTGAGTCCCAGGCCAGCTGGGGCTAAAGTTAAAATGTATAAAAAGATACATGATAAGGTGATGTTTTAATTAATGTAGTTTATTATTACGGTGTGTGTATGTGTGTAACTCCGAGGACAATTTTTGGGAGCTCTCACCTACTGTGGTTTCTGAGAATTGAACTCAAGATGTTAGGTTTGCGTGGTGAGCACATTTATCTGCTGAACCATCTCACCAACCCAGTTCAATATGTTGTTATGTGTTCAAATTATTACAGGAATTTGTTATTTTTCTATAGTTAAAATTCTTAAATTGGAAAACGTGTATTTTCTAAAAAACAAAAAAAGAAGAAAGCATGTATTTCATGAAAATGATTTTTAAAAATCCAGTTTAAGAGATACATGCTTAAAATGTAAGTCTCTCTCTTAGACCCACCCCACTTTGGGTTTTCTAGAACTAAATATTGACTTTTTTTAAAAAAATATACATAACCTTCTATGATTTCTCTGTGTATAAATAATCACAAGTTATTATACACACTTTATTCTTTCCTACTTCCAAGTATTACTCTAGTGCTATAAACTTGAATGTTGCTCCAAAGCCCATACAGCTCTTAATTATTCTTGATATCCACATAGAATCCAATGCAGGAAAAAAAAAACACCATTAAGCACTAGAAAGGAAGGATTTAAAGCAGGAAATCAGGTACTCACAAAACGATTGGATGGATTCAAGGAACAGAAGACAAGGATCTGCCTGGTGGTGTGGATTTCAAGGACAGACACTGTAACACAGAGGTCAGAATACTGCTGCTGTTCCCACAGGTGCCTGGCTTCTGCTGTGGCTGGTGACCAGACGCTGACACCGAATGTTCCTCCTGGGCTACGAGGAAGCTGACAACTAGACAGTGGAATGTCAAGTCCATCTGTGAGCACCAGTGAGCCATCAGCTCACCACCAAGGAGGCCTCCATGAATTTCCAGTCCCTGGTGGAAGCAAGCTCTCATCCAGAACCCTAGATGTAAGCCCTTTCTTCCTGTGGGCAAGAACACGGTAAGGTAGAAATGGGTACTGTGTGGGTAATTCACCATAAACACACACTGTTGTGTTCACAACATAAACCAGTTGTGAATTTATTAACTGCTTCTCAGTTGTAGGGCCGAGTATGTATGATACGAAGGTCTATTGCAGAATTTTATTATTACAATGTGCCCTGCAGTGTCCATGAGAGAATAACCCATTCTAGGAATTGATGTTATAAATTGTAAAAACTTGACATAAGTAGCCAGGCAGTGGTGGCACATGCCTTTAATCCCAGCACTTGGGAAGCAGAGGCAGGTAGATCTCAGTGAGTTCGAGGCCAGGCTTGTCTACAAAGGGAGTTCCAGGATAGCTGGGGCTACACAAAGAAACTCTGTCTTAAAAAAAACAAGAGAGAGAGGGAGGGAGGGAGGGAGGGAGGGAGGGAAGAAAAACCTTTACATAAGTAACAAAACAAAACTCATCCCACCCTGGATGAAACACAAAATGGCACTAATAGTGCAAACATGACCCAGTGGATATATTTAAAAGCCATTAAAATGTTGATCACGAACATTTTCATCATACAGAAATGTTCCATGCCCCCATTTAATTTCTTATCTCTGTGATATCTACAAATGCTTGAGAAACACTTCATTCCACTATCTTAAAACTTAAATTAATAGCAGGTTCACAGTTTTGTGTGTGCGGTCCAAATACCCAGCTCTTTGTGGTGTCATTGTTTACCCTGCCTTAAGGACATAACAAGAAGGGGTGTGGCCAACAGTTCAGAGCAAAATTAACTGGGGCAACAAGAACAGAATGGATGAGCTCATGTTGGAACAAGCATTCTTACAAGCCTGAGCGGGAGTAACAAGGATTAGCATTCTTGGAGTGCTTGCCAGAGGCCAGACATTTAATTCTCTGGTCTCCGGTTCACTCTGGGATAGAGCAGAGACCGTTAGGAACCTCTGCTCAGAAGCAATCCTCAGAAGGGAGGAACTTACCAAATCACAGGCTTGTGTTACGGCAGTGCTGTGCCACACAGCTAGGTCTCTGATCTTGTCTTTTTCAGTAGCTGTTGCCTTGCTTGCTGACCTTGATCAGATGTCCTCCCTATGCTATTCCCTGCCAGTTTCCTTCCTCCTAAACAGCTTACCAGAGGCTCCTTGTTTGTGTTTCCTGCATATTCTGTGTAAAACAGCTAGGAGGCAAGTACGTAAAACATCTGTAGGAACTTCTGCTGCAGGACTCCGGGGTTCTCCCACTGTGCTGTGAGCCTGTATTAAGGCCTCTTCCTTCCTTTAATAAACGGCACTCTACTGAGATGAATGACCTGCTGTCTTGTCTCTGTTTTTAGTCCTCAGTCCCTAGCTCAGACATGGTGAACAGTGGTAGTACAGGTGCTACAGCCTTGAACTTACTCTATACCCAAGCAGGGCTTGAACTTGCAATCTCTGTGCCTTCATCTTCCCAGTAAGTAGAATCACAGGCCTATACCCACAGGTCCACCTCAGGAGGTTGGATCTGATTTTCAAGCATCTATTGCTGGGGCTGCCTCTGCCATTCCCCTAGAGTGCGAATTTGCTCTATCTGTCACCACTAAGCTGGATTCATAGAATCTGAGATGAGGGAGCTCTGTATTTGGAAGAATCAAACAAGATGGTAACTCAACCCCAGTGAACAAGGATGTTCTAAAGCCGCAGACCCCTCTTCATGTCCGTGTTCACATAACAGTGAAAGGGGATCGTAGATGCGAACAAGCAGCCACTGAGAAAGCAAGGCATAGTGCTTGTACACTCATTCAGTCAACTGGCTAATGCTTTACTTATTGACTAGAACTCTGTGGAGAATAAGAAAGTAAATTACAGTCTCCCTGATGCCTCAAAGGAAAGTCCAATACCTTGAATACAATAAATATAAACCAACCATTTGAAAAACACCTGTAGGAGTATATGATAGCACAATATCTTTGTAGCGTTTCTCGCGAATTATAAAAGTTGTTCAGTTCAACCACAGTTGTAACTCTATGACTTTATATATGTGGGTCATGTTATAGGGAAAAAATTCTGTAAAGGGGCACTGACCTACTATGTCAAGATTATAGAACTATTATCACTACCAATTTATCATGATGGCCCCATTCAATCTTCAACTCCACATAACTTAACTTGCTCTAATTTCTACTAAAGACAATTTCATAAAAATACTCCAGTATAAAGTTCCCTTTACTGAAAAATAATAATAAGAAGAAGCCCCTGCCACACATGGTGGAAGCTCCTCTATGGCTAATACATGTGGGTTTGGGAACAGAGGGAGATGTGTGGCTTAATCTTGGCTAAGTAGATGGCCCTATGCGAGTGAGGGTCAGGGGACAGCCTAAGCTGGTTGCCTAATTGTAGCCAATGTCCATAAATACAAGGTTCTGGTTGGGTGACAAGCAGCAAATGGTTACTGTGATGTCATTGGGACTATGGATTTGCCCATTGGTCCTGTCGTCTGTTGGGTAGTTCCTGTCTGTTTTCTAAGCCTGGATTCCAACTCCCCTTCTAGCTCACTGTGCTGTCCAATAACCTAACAATCATTGTGTTGTACGCTCTCGTCTAAATTAGCCACACTTGGTGGCTTTCTTTAGAAAGAGTCTCCAGGACTAGAAGCCTTGGGGGAACTTTGAGAGCTCTGGGGCAGAGGTATCTGTAGTGGGTAACAGTAGCATCTGAAAACATTCTGGAGTCGTTGCTATGAGCGAGGGACAAGAGGCCCCCATGATGGCTCTAAGTGGGTCATTGACTTCACCTGTTATACAGCAAATGTTATGAGGAGGCATAGAAACACTGAAGGCCAAGAGGGCCAGAATGAAATAGTATCTTCTGAGCCGGGCGGTGGTGGCGCACGCCTTT